AAAAAAACGAGCAAAAGGGGGGGAAGACGGCATGCGGTTATAGGTGACACACTGGTGTCGCGACAGTTCAATAAAGGATCTTCACTGTCCATGATTTCAATGGGACAATAAGGCTTAGCCAATGCGCAAACTTCATGCCACCACACATCTCGACCTTCCACAAAGTTGACATTGGATCCAGTGCGCTTATAAACAATCACCTTGCGGGCGATTTCAGGGTCCGTGATGCCCGAAAGAGCGGTATCAACGATCGATTTTGTGGCAATATTTTTCCCGCCTCGTTTGCCTTCATCCGTAGTGATGACAACTTTTGATCGAGCGTCTTGAACGCGATCTCGAAGCGATTCTGCCGAGAAACCAGCAAAGATGACGGAATGAATCGCACCAATCCGAGCACATGCCAGAAAAGCCACCACGGCCTGTGGTATCATAGGCAGATATATGGCCACTGTCTGAGCTTGTAAGTGATCACATCAAAAGATGAATGTAAGGGGTCAGCTTAGCGGATAGATTGTGTGATGCATCCCAAGGGTGCTTACTGCATATATATCAAATAGATCGGAGGTTTTGTTAACTTACATCGCCTTTTCTGACACCCATGGACACCAATACGTTAGCGAGCCTGCAAACTTCTTGCAGAAGCTCCCTGTACGACATCTCGGCACTGTCAGCCGGCTCGTCTGCTTCCCAGATGATGGCGGTCTGTACAGATTGGAATTACACCACCTGATCAGAACGGAAACACACTGTGAGGATACGTATTGAAAACCGTTGATACTTTATCTGGGTGCTTGATAGCCCATCGATCAACGCAATTATATGATGCATTCAATCCACCATTTTCAAACCATCTCATATCACCGCAATCGAATCCACCTTGTTTGACTTGAGTGTATGGACGATGCCAATGAATCACTTCTTTAGCATGCTGATTACAATATGTCAATACGCTATCTTAAAATTGAAATCCAAAGAAATTCGGAATGATGAAATTTGAGTATTTCGAACCTTGTCCCAAAATTCAACCGGACTCTCGATACTTTGCTTGTACATCGTTTCATAGGCTGCCTCATCAACATGGGGTTTTGGATGCCCGCTTAGAAGTGATGGGATCTCTAAGGCTTTGATAGTTGACTGGGTTGCCATGTTGTCAGATCTGAATCGAGTTACAGGTATTTATGTAGTGTGTGCGTGATCGAGTAGCTGGATCTGAGATTGGAAGGACTTTGCGAAAAATTCGAGCCTGAGGGAAATGAGAGTAGGATGAATATCGGCTGATTGGTTTTAAGCAACTTTTCTGAAATATCGAGGATGAGAATGAAGAGAATATAAGGAACCAAACCATGAATCACATCAGCTGACCTTGACATATGCCAACGCTTTCTGAGTTACATAAGCGGTGGTTTGTATCTTGTTTTCAATTGAGTGGGTAAAAATCAATTTGAACTGATCGTTCAATCCTCACTGTATCGGCCTGCGGAAAATGGTGCGGGAACTTGCGGGAAGAGCGCTGTGTGTGAACGGTGGAGGATTCAACCCGGCAGCCTGCAAACTTAACTAAGCCCCACGCGGACCTAACCACCAACTCCAGCGAGGGGCTTACACATTAGCCCGTTTTTTTGGCGTGAGATCGGCCGGGGGGTTTTGCTAAAAACTAGCAATCCCTCTGCACGCTTAGGACCTCAACAAAGTCTTTTCGAGCTCATAATCAAAAGAAAGCGCTGCCTCCCTATCTTTAAATTGCCGCTCTCGGCTTCTGCTTATCTCAAACATGCACAAAAATAACTACAATAAATCATTTGGGGCTAAGCACGGGGCCGTAAGATGACTGCGGCGCCCAAAACCGTCAAATTATGGAAACAACAACAGTTTTGGGGACAAAACTGCCAAAACCAAAAAGCAAACTGCCGTTTGCATCCCAAGCCGGCTGAATTTCTCTAAGTTCCCGTTTTTGAATGCCCTCTCATATTACCACTCTAACCGTTTCACACACCTCAAACAAACGATGCTACGAAGGAGCCAGTCCAAAACCAACGAGGCCTTGATGGCTCTACCAACCTCTACCAGATCGCTCACTCTACCACCCAAACGGTTACCCGAGTTTATCGATACTAGCGAGGAGAGCCAGAAAAAGTCGATCAACAACTTGTTTCAGTCCCACTATGGATATGACGGACGAGCAGAGCAGAATCAGTCTGCTGTAGACCTTCTCCATGGACGCGCGGTTTTCTTATTAGCAGGTACCGGTTTTGGCAAGAGCCGAGTGCCTGAAGTATTCTACCTGGCACATGATCTCAAGAATTATGCTCCTATAGTACTCTGTATCAACCCTTTAGACTCACTCGGCGATGACCAAGTAAAGTCTTAAACACTGTTACGAAGCTATATTTGATACTGACACTGGTTCAATTGATTGCCTGCAGGTCAGCGAGAAATCCAAGGTGCACTTGAACAGCGTGAACCTGAATGGCCCAAACTGCACGCAGGATAATTGTGATGCCATTCTACAAGGCAAATACGGTTTTGTATACGTGGTAAGCGATTACCAGCGCGTGCTGATATGTTAGCGTGGATTACACTCTTGCTGATGGTCGCGTGTGGCTTCAAATTGCCTTACAGAGCCCGGAAGTAGCTTTGACGAACACCCACTTCGATAAGATGTGGCGGGATCAACGATTCCAAAATCGTTTGATATTAAATGTAGTGGACGAGGCACATATGGTTAATGAGTGGGGCCTCGTCGAGAGTGGCCAAGCGAAAAGGCTCGCGAGTCATGTACGGGTTCAGGATGGCGGTGTGTTTCGGCCATCTTATGGTGAACTCGCTCGTCGCTTCCTATCTTCCGCAAACGTCCCTATACTCTTGATGACGGCGACCTGCACGCCGCAAGCAATCCATGCGATCCTAGCCAACCTCAAGCTCGACTCGAGAGATGTCAGATTTCCAATTGCCGAACTCACTCGACCCGAAATTCGTTTCATTCGCAGGTCTTTCAAGCGACCACTCAAATCTTCGGTCCGGGGGATATTTCCACATCACGCAGTGGTCCCAACGAAGGACATCATACCAACCCTTCTGTACGCCGGGACTCAAAACAACACGCTAGAGTTCTTAATCATGATTCACACTTCTCGCGGCCAACCTAACGAAGCTGGCAATGGCCATTCCGACTTTGCTCGTCGTTACCACGCAAACACCGGACCAAAGTCCAAGCTGGACGCGGTGGCTATGTATGTGGCAGGAAGTCTGGCGGTCTTATGCTGTACCTTAGCACTGGGACTTGGCCAAAACTGGAAGCGTGTGCGGCGTGTAATCATTGTAGGTCGTCAACACCCTGGCAATTTTGTACAAATGTCAGGACGAAGTGGACGAGATGGACGTCGAGGGTTAGGCATACTTTTGGTGGAACACAATAGAACCAATGGGAAGAACAAAATCACTGACTTTAAAACCCCAACGGTAATGTCTGACGATGACCGCATGGACGCGCTGGCCATCACACCAGTCTGCCTACGTGTGGCCATCGCGGTTGATCTCCGGTAAGCTGCAATCATTATGAATTCGTTTTGGTATAATGGTTTGATATATTGTGTTCCATTAAAATCAGGCTTGGATACATCCCTCTCAAAGTCGATGATATGTGTGTTACTGAAGAGGTTCAACGGCAGGAAAAGGCGAATATGCGACTCTGTGATTGCTCCAATTGTCAACCTGAAGCCGCCGAGGCTCTGTGGCTGGCTCAGCCTGCCATGACCGTCAACAACTTCGATGACGCTCTTGCAATGGGCGAGACCGAGCTTCTGCAACTTGTCGAAGACCTACCTGAGGCCCCACTGACTGATCCCGCCGAGATTCGACACGTGGCACAGGTGTGCCACACCGACGACCCTATCGAGGCCATACCGTTGCTGGAGACACTAGTCTCCTATCTGGACCGTGCCTTCCATGACTTTTTCTACCAGATTTTCACCGACGCCTCGGATCTGGGACCACCTGATTATTTCCCTCGCGAATTGGCTTGGAATATTGCTAAAAACATCGACATTATCACGAAGCCGAGTGATTTGGCGTTAGTCCTGTCCAGTGAGACAATCTTGGGCCAATTTGACTGTTTATTTGTCGCATTTTGCCAGTGGAAGAATGCCTATCCAACCGCGGTGTTAATAGCCGACGCAGCCAAACGTAGGGAAGTCAGTTACCGGGCCAACAAGTCAAACAAGGCTCCACAATCATGTGAAGGAGCTCAAATCGCAAAGGAGCGCGCCGACCTGGCCAAAGCGGCCTCAAAACTGGCCACCGCTTCGGCGAAGGAAGCCGAAAAGGCGGCCAAGGACGCACAAAAAGCTGCGAAGGACGCACACAAAGCTGCGAAGGAACAGGAGCGTAGTATGAAAGACGCTGCAATGGCACTCTGCCACGCTACTCAGCACGGACTGCCGATTCCCCCCAGTACGACCTCCAAGCGTCATGCTGAAGGCATCCTGGAAGGAGAACCTTGCAAGTTTAAAGGCAAAGCTCAAGTGAGTCATCTGCATTTATCAAGACAGCTCGCCATGGTGGTTGTGATATTCTTTGCCGACATTGATCCTTGTTTGCAAAAATATTTACATTTGTGATTATCAATCTACCATTGGACTCTCCTCTTCAACCCAAGACGACAACACATCCAAAGCACCCCACCGATAGCGCGATGATCGACCCGCGACTGTGTCAGCCAGGTTCAATTTGACCATGATTTGCATTCCGGCTCGCCAGACTCAGCCTGAGCCCCGGAACCAACGCCCCGAGGGTTCCACCAAACTTTCAGTGGCGTACCTTCGGGTTCGGTCAGGCTTTTTGGGCCCCCAATAAATCGGGGGCCCCTTAGGGTTCGGGGGCGGGGGTGCATAATGCTTAAACCCCCGATTTTATCCGCGGGGACCCCCGGCTCCCCGCGGGTTTTGGCATTCGGGATAGGGGTCGGGGGGGGCGTCTGAGAGCCGGGTTTTCATCGGTTCGGGGTAGGGTTCGGTCGCGGGGGGGCTCATTGGGTATTGGTTCGGGGGGCGGGTAGGCCATTACCCGCGTTTTTCGGGTCGGGGCTCAGGCTGACGCCAGACGTTTGCAATTTGGGCTCGAGGGCGAGACAGGGCAGCTTCGACCAAACTTTCAGTGGCGTACCTTAAGAAGACGGCCATGGAGGCGTGTGTTATCCCGTTAGGGTTGGCCTGGTAGATTATCTTGCGACCAGCTTCAGACAGGATTAGCTGCATTAGCTTTCTTAACTGTGGGTCCGGGTATATTTGAGGAAGCATTCCACTGTCAGAATATGTTCTACTAGTATTTTGCAATACACTCAAATAACACTCACCAATTGAATATTATTTGAGAGGATATAAATAAGCCGCTCGATGTCAGTGCCGCGACCCTACATCTCCAACAAGTCAGCCGTGCGACCCTGCGAGATAGGAAGAGAGGACGAGAATACTCACTGTATTATCATAATGATCCTTGAGCCAACAGATATGTATTTCCATGAATTCATCGATTGCAAGCCAATGATTATCTCGCTCATTTGATGGAAGGAGAAGTGAGTGCTTGATTGCCCGGGCCAAACTTTTAGGCAGATCTTGCTCCAAAAGCATTACGAGTCTGGGAATGTGGCGGCTGTAATGAGAAAGACCCGGTAAACCTTGGGACATGACTGCCCAACGTTTCCACATGGCCAACAGTCGTCCGATATCTCCAGCGCGGGTGGCAGCGTGTGCTTCAACTACCGTGGCGAAGTCTCGCAGACGCAATCGGAGGTTGTACTTCGTGTGATTGTTACTTAGCCTCGCCTCTTCAAGCGCGTTTGCATCAAAATACCGAGCCACAGCGGTCTCAAGAAGGATATCGCAATGTCTTGATTTAGTCAAATCAAGGCCCTCGAGTGAGTTGATCACTTGGCTACAATGGTGTTGTTCAATGTTAGTACATTGTGTTTAACAAACTGTCTTTCAAACTGGTTTTTGAATCGAGACTGACCTCAACACAAAAACCAGATTGGCCTGATGTACAATTTGGCATGATCTCATGATGGTGTTGAAATCTTGTGAGTCGGCCGCTTGCTTGTATTCCAATCCTAAAGCAAACGCTGACCGCCACACTCCGGTATCCTCCGCCTTGGATGAGTCACCCCAATGATGTTTCCATAGGCTCTTCGCCATATTCCAAGTCGTGTGGGCCCCACCAAAGACTGAGAGGACCCACTCATAGCCTTCCACTGAATCAATAGGAGGGAACCTTTTGACTCTCAGGCTTTCGACCAGTTGATTCGATCCAACGTCGCCACCCGCAACCAAAAGGTGTTTCGCATAATCTTCACGGTCCATTCCGATCTGGCCTAAAATCTGATCAATCACACGTGATACACCCTCCGCTGACGAATCTGGAGCGTCCATCATTCGTAAGAAGTGAATGTTGGGCTTGTGCATTGGGATGGGATCAATCGACGGGGGTTTTGTCAAAAGTTTAGGTAACTTTTCGGCCTTGGGGGCCCCAGGTATGTGCTCTATATAATCCATGAGTGCACTAGCCATCTGCGCTTTGATCACTGACCGCCAGTGCTGACTTTCCGCGACGCCAGGTGTGAACAGACTCATGTTCACAGGTCTTCGGTCTGCGGCGGCCATCGCATCGAGAAACGCAGGTAAACCAAGTTCGTCCGGGTTACATTCGGCCAAAAGTGCCGGTTGGACTACATTGAAAAAACCCCAGGTCCCATGGAAGAGCCGGGATTTATCATCCACACGAGTGTAATGTATTTTCAAGTTAATATCAATGTTATCATAGCATAAAAAGGGCATCAGCTTATGATTGACTTTGAATACGTCCATCAGACGCTTTTCTTGTAACATCCGAAACTGATTGATTGCGAGGAGCACGGTTGGCCGGGAAGTCGTGAGGCCGAAAGCATGAAGCCATTCATGCATTCGACATGAAACACCGCCGGCCAATGCCATAAGGCCGTTTGCAACAGGTATAGCATTGCTGCGTCGATTGCATGTCATTGCGATCATGGCACACACCATGGTTGGCACCTACAGTGGTAGATTAAATAGTGAGCTCTCACTATTGTTCACACGAGTAACTCTCGTTCACACTATGAGTTTGCATACCTTCTCTAGCTTATGATCGGCTTGACTTTTCGGAGTGGATTTAACGTACACCAAATTCTCCATCGACATTGGTACGTCATCCTCGTCGGCGCCTTCCTCTGGAGCCTCACCGGGATCTGGGTTGTCTGTGCCCTGGGAGATCGGCGTATGAACATGCTTCTTGCCCATTGCATGGGCAATTTTGCGGTGAATCAGGTTGTGTAGAAAGGGCATTCCACTCTTGACTAATTCCGTTCGACGTTTGTCTGAAGCATCACTGAAAAAATCGGGGGTGACCGCGCTGGAGCTGACATACCCTCCCGCCGGAAACGCACTTCGAGTGACCTCTTGCTCGATCACTATATCCGATGCCTAATATCCATATCAAGATTGTTCACTTGTAAGAGGGCCAATCAATTGGTGGGAGCATATCGATAACCGTACTGACCTCCTCCAAAATCAGTTTGTCCCATATAATTCGGCCGGCATTGGATGCCTTTGTCAATCTGCCTAGATTATTGACAATTGAACGAGTTTCACGCCCTCCCAACCCAATTTTGCTTAGACGTTGGCGAACCACTATCTCCTCTTCGGTAGAACACAGGAAAGTGACCATGAATTGCTTTGGCGACATCCCTAGCCTATTGATGAAATCACAAATCTTTATAGCATTTAGAACCGTAGTAGGCACGGGCTTGCCATCTTTGGATTTGACTGGGGTCGACATGGCAGTAAATGACGGGCAGGGGGTACTGATTCAGTGATTAAAAAGAAGATGCTCGATGGAGCTCCGGCTCGACCAAGGCTCCAAAGTGCAAGCTGATTGATTAGACAGAGATTCATGTCAAATCAATGCCAAAAAAGGCCTTTGTCACAGTCTGTCCGTTACATCTCCCATCTGGGAATCAAGACGTGCCTATGTTTCAGCCCACTTGACTATATCGATTTGTTCCATGTTATAATATAAAAGTAAACAAGTAAACCGAGCCCCTTGGTTCAGTTATCTCTCAATCCCAAAAAATGAGGGTGAGGATACATGTTTGACGCTTGCCACGTTAGCCAATCCCTACAAGGAGTAAGCTAACCAAGTAATCAGCGTCAAACTCTTCCCGGATTTGCAAAATCCAAGGGACAACGCTGACGAGGACACTTTCCCTTACTTCCCCTTCATATAAACCAGTTGGGCCGAGGAACATTGTGACCTCTGTGGCATAGTCTCCAAGCATCAACCTACTATGTCGGAACATCATTCTTCGGAACCAACTCCTTCATTACCACCTCGATCTGATCATCTTTCCGACACTGACCAATCAGTACCATATGGGTCGGATGATGTCCAATCGGACCCTGATATCACCAAAACCGAAGGAATATACTTGGCGACATCTGAAGGACAACGATCCGATTATTTTGGCGGAGATGAACCATTATTGGAAACAGAACTGTCCGACCCTCCGGAATCACAATCTGATTTTGTCATTCCGGACAGCGAGCTAGATCGTGACGACCGAATCAACAACGTCATCAATGCCATCCTAGCTAACGGGATGACACTGCGGGAATTCCTTCGCACTTTTAGACTATCAGGCTCCGCCCTCATCAACCCACTCGGCCATCCGTCTCAAAGACAGATTGTCAGGAGAACCCTCGACGCCATCAACTACATGCAAAGTCAAAACTTGCACGCCGACGAGTTCATCCTGGCTCTGCTTGATTGTCACAACCAGGCTCTCTGGCCACATCAACGATCCTTACGTGGAGCTGAGCCATACAATCGGCGGGTCATCAATGGGATTTTCAACGGCCTCCGCAATCAAATCTGCGCGGCTGGAAATGAAGATGAGATCTGGCGTGATCTCATCCAACACGAGGTGAGCTTTTATATATGTTCTCCATCCGAAATGTGGCCTCTGATGTATGGTTAGGCTGACAGTCCTTCCTCACATTTTGGACAGGCTAATGACTTGCAAATCAATGTCTTGTGCGATCACGTAATGTCGTGAAATCACTCTGGGAAAGCATTAGGTGATTTACATTCTCTTAAGGCCATGTGATCATTGCCCATCCTATTCTAAATCCAATATCACACTGATACTGACGAGTTTCATTATTCCTGTGCGAAGGACCGTTGCCACGAATAAAAATGCATTGTCTTTATGTCCCTTAATGACGTCAAAAGGCTGTTTGTACTTAAGAATATTTGGATTGACGAAACCTTTTTGACCTCGCAGCATTTGAGAATTGTGAGGCCCTGTGTGGCCCCGAGTGCGTCCCGACTGAGTTTTTGTGAGATAACTTTTGATCTACTTGAGATATTGAGGATTGGACAACGGGAGTAGAGGCGCAGGGGAGCTGCGGCCATCTTTTATTATCATCTCCTTTGGAGATGATATGTGTGATTTGAGTGCAGGGAGGTTGGCAGTTTTTAGCAAAACCCCCCGGCCGATCTCACGCCAAAAAAACGGGCTAATGTGTAAGCCCCTCGCTGGAGTTGGTGGTTAGGTCCGCGTGGGGCTTAGTTAAGTTTGGGCCCATCCCATATCCCAGGGGGACGCTGTGCGTTTCTTAGGTCTGATATGTGACATATCACCTCATCAGATATTCGTGAGTCACACGCCCACACAACGGGCCAGCCCGACGTTCCAGTGTCACCACGAGGAAACTGCATCCGTTTCGTGTCGAACTGTATATACCATTATGATAGGCTTGAGCGGCTGAAACCCCGCTGGTCATACGTGGCACAAATGCACTCACAAGGAACATCATCCTCACATTACTGAGACGTGTCTCAGCAGTTGTAAATATTGCCCCCACCGCGAATTCGAAGACCCAGTCAGAAGGGCATGTGAGCGTGAGAGTGGAAGAAACCTTTCTTCTTTAATTGTGTCGCCGATCGGTTTTGTAAACACCCAGTTCGGTTTTGTCAACACCCAGTGACCCACTCAAGTCCCCATTGAAGTTCCCTTTTGCGAACAGCCGATCACCAACCGTGCAACCCCCACATACCAAATACAATGCCTCTCGGCTTCATATCTCCAAAGCAAGCAAACGCTGATGAGTGTGAGTGTTCCGAAATCAAATCCTGATGAAGCTTTTTGCTCACAACACCGCCCTGGTATCGTGCAGACTTTGTACAAATCCAATCTGGGCCAAACATGGGCCAGTGGGGGTGTAAGATATGTACAAGCCGCACTTTCAAAGATCGGATGAAGCACAGCAAGCTCCAAACCCATGTCATGCGAGTCCGAGCGGCCATTGAAAACTCTTCTAGGGCCCAGAACGCCGTCCCCATTCCCGGATTAGGCTCTCGTTCTAGTTCTACCGTGGAGCACGACACACCTTCGGCCATCACGGTTCCTGACGCCATGGCGATCGATCAGGCCCTTGACGAAGCCAACGTTGATGTACTTGACGAAGATTTCGCCGACGATATGACAAGATCAGATGACCTTCAGTCTCTGTATGACCCATCTCAAAGTCCGGGTCTTGGTTTGCCACCGTCTAGACAGTCGAGTGTGGACCTTGACCGATTCCTGGAGGCGGAAGGATCCGATTCGGAGATATCTGCGGCACCGGGACCTGAAGACGAGCCCACTTCGGCTATAGATGCTTGGCTTCCATGGTATCCTCTCCGCAAGAAAGAGGTTTGTTGGCGCTCGCTTGCCCCAATTTCTATATACTCAAACAGCAGATTCCTGACATGGCTTTGGTGGTCGCTCTTTCAGCATGTGGCCGCCTTGTTGCTGTTGGGCACTGGTCGCAACTTACTGTCCACTGCACAGTACAAACGCATCCGGTGCATTCTCAAAAAGGTGCTGAATGTTGATTTGCCCGACCTTGGTTAGTATCATCCCTTCCTTTCCCCAATTGTAAATGTTTGTTATATATTTACCGTCCCCACCATGATTTTTATGTAGGCCACATAAAATATATTCGCACTGAGCTCAAGGAACGCCTTGGCCTTAGGGTCTTAGACAGAATAAGTCCGCACGGAAACCCTTGTTTCACGCTCTCAGTCACGGATATTATATCACAAGTAAGTGCTCCTGTTCCTGATTGTTATTCTCACGCGCTGACTTTGTGTTCCAGGAGCTGTCAAACCCTGAATCAGCCCCCCACATCGAATTCATCCCGGAGAACGATCAAGGGGTCACCATTGACCGTTACTCTCAATCGAAGAAGTGGCGTGAAGACCTACCACGGAATCTTAGAGTGCCTATGGTCAACGTTTATGGAGAGCACTTTTACATATACGAACCTTGCCAGCTGGAAGACTCACGCGTGGTGGTTCCGATTTTTTTCTATAAAAAGAATTCAATTATACATGCAAAATGTTTGGAGGTTGTACCCACTTGTCAAGGGTCTCATGATTTCATCATTCCTGCCGAGCCACAATTTGATTCAGACACTTATTTGGACATGAATGTAGAGAAATTTGCGAGATCTTTCATGCAAATAGAACTGTGGAATGGTCTGAAATGGTGCGATTCTACAAACACTCGATTACTGCGTGAGTTTGCAACCGTTTAGTGTCTTCTAGCACGGGTCAACTGATCATCATGTCCTCTGATAGAAAATCCTGAACAGCGCTCAATCATCGAACTCCCAAATCCATGGAGGTCGCAGGCCAAAGGCATGATCATTCGCAGTGTACCGATAGTTTTATACTCAGATGATACTTCCGGAAATAAGTCAAAAAAATGGAATAAACATATGTCATTCTACTTCTCTTTGGGTGGCCTGTCACCAAAATTCACAAATCAGGAGTATCACATTCACTCGCTGTGCACATCAAACATTGCAAGTGCTTTGGAGCAAGGAGACCAAATAGTTGATGAATTGAAGTACGCCGTCAACACCTTATTTGTTTACATGTTTCTGTCATTGATCTTATCCGATTTGCACAATTAGTCAAGCCGCCTCAACTGGTTCACCGCTACGATTCAGCTGAAGAAGAAGATGTGCTCGTAGTTCCCTTTATCCTGTGCCACATGGGTGACTCCCCGATGCATGCTGAAATTTCAAATACCACAAACCCCTCGGGAACTCTGTCACCATGTCGAATTTGCAACCTGACAGTCGAGTCAAGAGCGGATAAGCAATCCGAAAGCTATGTTCAACAGTTTGTTGGAATAGATGAACATTGGATGCCGGTGAGGGTTTAGATCCATTGTGTAATGTACTTTACTGATTTCACTATAATTATATTACTCCTCTTAGGCCGGTCGACCAATCCGGAGCTGGGCCCGTACGCGAGAACAGACCAAAGAGTTGTGGGCATTGACACGACATCCTAAAAGCATTAAACGTTTTGACGACCTTTCAAAGTCTTTTGGAACTCGGGATTCACTAAACCTACCGTTTGCAAAAGAGGCCCAGCAGCTCTACCGTTCTAACAAACATAAACCGAAAGCAGATCAGATATCCCAAGAGGAAATCATTCACCAATGCGAAACGTTGGAAAATCGATTTGGTGAACATATGTTCAATCCTTTTCTACGCTTAACAGGTGATTCCCACCATTTCACCTGTTATCTGTACATTTGATGTGAGCTGACCTACCTGACCAATCCAGGCTTTAACGGCCATGTGGACACGCCGGTGGAATCTCTACACGTAGTCCTGCTTGGCGTTACCAAATATCTCTATCGGGACATGATTTCCAAACTTTCTCCCGCCGAACTCGTCACCGTTACTGGACAATGGCAATCTTTCGGCATTGAAGGTTTGAATTGTGCACCAATCCAGCCACGTAACATGGTCCATTACGCAAATAGTCTGCTTGGAAAGGACTTCCGAGTGGTTTTGCAAGCGGCTCCCTTTGTTTTTTTTGAATTCATTCCCGATGACTATCGCCACTGTTGGATCGCTTTAGCTCATTTGTCATCGTACATATTTCACACACGGATTTTCAACAAAAGTGAATACATTGCTGAACTGAGGATTGTCGTTGCTCAATTCTTGAAACAACTGGTTGGTCTGACTGCCCAATGGACGAACAAGCCCAAATTCCACATGCTCACCCACCTGCCGGACTCTGTTGAACGATTTGGACCTCCGCCCCTTTTTCTCACGGACAAAATGGAAGCTCAAAACGGGACAACTCGTGAGGCCTCGGTCAAATCAAATCACCATGCTCCTGGAAAGGATATCTCAAACACCTTCAACAACGAGAGGCTGGTGAGGATGCTCATATCTGGAGGGTCTTTCTTTGATAACAAACTGGGGACACGCACCACTGCTTCAAGACTCTTCCGAGACCTCTTCAGCGAGAAAGAGATTAGACAGTCTGTAGGCTTGCACTTACCTTTATCAACCACAGTTCAAAATAAACTCAAGGTCACATGTGAGTATACATGTGTCTTTCTTTGGGCGAGTTTTTTATTAACCATCCTCTTTGCAGATACCAAAATAAATAATTCCAGCAACAATGCCAGTCAAAAGCCCCCCAACAAACTCTGCAGCCGATGGCCAAATGCAAATTGGAGGAATGTGTCTCAGTTTGTTGTGAACAATGGGCGCAAAGTGGGCCGCGGCGGTTTTTTGCTGGTAATGTCTCTTGGGAACACCCTTCCATTGTTTGAGCAGTCCCATCAAAACTGATCCATGCTGATATATCCAGATTGATTTTGAACTTGAGGGAAACGCCCCAGTCAAGATTGGACGCGTGACGGACATTTGGCACCAAGTCACTTCTAATGACCTTCTTATTCAAGTGAAAAAAATCCAGGTCGTATCCGGACTACACCCGTTTTACGGAATGAGAGAAGTCAAGGAAACTAATCAACATGTCTGGATTAACTCGGATGTAAGTATTCATTTGGCTTACATGTGGACCGGGAACTGACTCACAGTTGCCACAGAATATATCGTGTATACTCAATGTGCAGCACAACTGCCACGATGCAAAATGTTTGGTCACCAAAACAAGAGCTTTCCGCCTCGAACGAACTGCCGCGCAGAATAAGCGACCTGAAGTCACTCATGAGCCCCTCAACTCTTTCATCATTAATGCAGGTGCCCACTATTCATCAGAGTTTCATCGTGGGGTCACCAAGCATGTGTGGTCCGAAGTGACCCCAGAGGAATGGAAAGAATCAATCACCCAAGGGCTTTCCGCATGGTTTGATAGATGTCCACCTAAAGGTTTGGGTGAAAATGATGATGATGCCTTGCCAGAAGACAAAGATCCGACAGTTGATGTGGATGTCTAACTGATCAGGACCAGCCTGCTCCGTCTGTCCCGTTTGTTCGGATAAGATAACAACAATGTAATCATAGCAAAGGGATTGTGAGAGCAATTCACTATAACCTCTTTGTTTGCAAGTTTACAATTCGAAGCCTTTTTGTATAGCTTCTTGTGGCATTCCTTTTGGATGCTCCGTTCCACTTTGAGACTGTGGAAGGCGGCAGGAGTAAGCACTTTGGCCCATCCCCCTAAATAGCTTGATACCGTGAATACCTTGATAAGGCCAAGATGATCTTTCGTGATTTTGGCATAAGTTTTCACACGATGAAGGTGTAGAAGGAATGTGCATCAAACACATGCTTCTCACACCTTCAAGGGGAATCACTCGAAATCAGTCCATTTAACCACATGTCACCATGTGGTTAAGTCTGTCAAGTCCCACTGGAGCCAGGGTGACATGTCAACCACTCCACAAACCAACATCCCTGGCTCACGTCCATCAAGCATTCCACCGTCGATCTTGCTCTTCCCTTCCGAAAGACGACACAACTCCAGTATCCACGTCACCACATTCTCGCCACCTTCTGGGATCTTGCTCGTGCCTGCCTTATTCGAACGGCGAGGAAGAATTCAGACTAGCCGCCTAATTCTTCCTCGTAACTGCGAACCATTTGCTAATGGTCGCATTACGATAGGTACGTGCGGAGGCGATAGGCGACTGTACCCTTTTTCTGCATCGGTTCGTTCTGCGAAAACCACGCGTGATTTGACTATTAAAACCAACAATTTGGACAGCTGACGAGTTGCGCATTCCACCATCTCTCCCTTTTTGACACTCCTCATTAATCATGGATTTAGAAATGGATGACCTTTTCGCTGATGATACCCCAATGACTGAAAGCCAGATCGACTTGGTCCATTCACCGAACGCGGCCTCTTTACGACGTGCAATCTTCTTACTTACTAGTCGATCTACTGTTTGAGGACATTAAATCACTAATGATCTTTATCTTTTGTTGTTTTCATCATGTTTTTCTCGATGTTGCAGCATCTGGAAGCGCCATTTCGATTACAGCCGAATCGCCCCAAACAGCCACTGCGACCCTGTTCCGTCCGGCCCAACCACGTCACACCCCAGCTTCAGCATCTTCACGCACGAGCGGTGCCCGTGACAGGGTGAAGAAATTTGCTGATCTTCTTAAACTCACCAAGGACAATCAAGACATCTTGCAAAAGATGTATGATGTAAGGTCCTCATTTATCTGCTTAAGATGTTAGAGCACACATTGAAGTCATGTTACCTCCTTCCCTCGGGCAGAACACGCTGCCAGGTGAAGAATACTTAGGCACCCTTGCATACTTGGTTTTTGCTTGTCAAGAAGGGAAACCGGGTGGGCCTAACCCTAAGTGGACAGCCGGACGAGTGATCCGAGTGAGTCCAAAGTTCAAATGTGGTATGATCTTTTTCTGACGACCTCATTCCGGCTGCGACCTTTTTCAAAGGACGCTCTTAAAGACCAGGTTGGCGAATTCATTTTCCGCCCTGACCTTCAGGCGTTCAGCAAAACCGTAGCCGAAGATCATACCACTATGTTGCAGAGCTTAGAGATGCTCACCTTTGTAAGTTGCACTTGCATTCACGCCAGTTGGAAGCTCCTTTTATTTCTATTTGTGATCACTCACTATCCAAAGCACCCCCAGAACTACCTGAAGGGTCTAAAACCCGAGTATGTAGATGCTCATTGTCCCGGCGATTATGTCGCCGGCGAGGCGTGTATCCCTGGCACAGCGATGTACGCGTTTGTCAAAGAAAATCTGAAGAACCAGCGCAGTAAAGTGCGCTCAGCGGTGAGTCGAGTCCCACTCAAGTTTTGACGTTTGGTTGCGCCAATCACTTCATCGGGGCTGAAACTGTTCGGCGTCTGCGAGCCAGCTGCTTGCTAATATTCTTGGGGTAACTGAGGGGAGTCTTCTCAAGGTGCCGGCTGCCAAGGCGATGATCATTCAGGTACGTATCTTTCCTGGGGATTCATCGCTCGGAACCCTCGCTGACTTTCCATTATTCAGGTGGCCCGAACGTTTTTCGCCAGCGTACGACCTTTGGAGGACCATGAGGTCTTGGCGAAATTGGGGCGTCCCACAGTGAAGCGAATCATCTTCATGGTAAGCAGCTCTCTGTCTGGGCTTTCAGACATGCAAATTTCAGACTGATCTTGGCGCGGTCTGGTAGCGATATGTGACAGCTTGCAACTACCTCAATCACACCGAGAATAAAAGGCGTTGCCAATGGACTCTCTTGGACGAGGCGCTTGCGGATCTTCGTGCAAGACCCGAAAGCGATGCAGCGTTGTAAGTTGGTATCTCCAGCACAATGTGGTGAATGAGGGCTGACCAGACACGCTTCGGCAATCAGGTACCTCGATAAGATCATCTGTTATGACCGACAGGTGTTTGATGGCAAGCGAACATGGGCGACAATCAAAGCATCGGTCACACTCCCAGCCCCCTTTGTGGAACAAGTCCTAGACTCTGTTCAACACCAGAGTGGCGCAGATGTCATCGGTGATGGTTTAGGGGCTTCCGGTAATCCGGCTACGGGGGAAGACTTTGAGGAGGAGCAATAAATTCCAATGTAGATAGTTGGAAATACTCAGATACAAACATATTGTCAAAGATTTATCTAAACATCGTGTTGATTATTATTGTAAAGAATCTCCTTGGTCCTTTACCTTCTGGCTGCTCAGTGACATTCCCGATCTTTTGATATTTTGGTGTAAGGCCCGAACCAGGCTGTCCTCAGCGCGCGGATAACCAATTGAGATATGTGCCTGCCCCATCGGTCCTACGTGTGTGAGCTGTGCGAGCAGCTTACGTGGACGCTGGTGAGTGTGCTCGCGTTTATGTCACGCGGTTCACGGAGGAATCCGCGAGGTCACGACGTCCATGCTCACGTTTGTGAAATGTGTCGGCGTCGCGTCTACGAGACGCACTCACTCCGTACGTAAATGTCACGCGGGATCGCCCTGCCAAAAGATTCCGCGTGAATTTCACGTGCCAACCCTTCAGTGGTGTAGGATACGGGTTTTGCCTGATAAATTCGTGATAGACCTGATAATTTCTGATAAACCTGATAAACCCCCACAACCCCATGGTATATGGGGTTCGCAGTAATCAACCTGATATGTAAAATTTCCGTTAAACCTGTTAAGCCCTTTATCACTTAACATTTAAGTCGGTCCATTAAGGGGGTATGCCAAGCAGACCACGTGGCCCACTTGTGGTCAGAATTACCCCTTGAGGTGTCACCTCTCACGACTCGCGACGCGACCTGATGGGACACCTCACACGCATACCCTCCCCATCACACACTCAATCCGCCCTTCAACAACCCTCTCCAATCGCCATCATGCTACTCACTGAATTCGTAGCCCATCTCACCAGGACGACGCCACAACTCGGCACCACACTCACGGTAGCCGACTTCGTGCGATTCATGTTGCTTGCATCCGAAGTCCAACACTCCGCTGGACAAGGTCTTCGAATGCAATCGTACCGCCTCCCAGTCGCCCACTTTTTCCTTGCTGCACTCAAACCAGATTTCCCTCACGACCTCATTCACAACATCTGGAGGTTGGCCTTTGACCTCTTGCCCTCCTCTCGCATCGATGCGAGCGCAAGCGTCCGTGACCTCGGTGTCCAACCAAACATCCCCTCTGTAGCCGAACGATACCTACGCGCGCCGGTATCGAAGTGTCTTGTGTGCCCAAGCTCACCAAACCTTCATGTGCACTCCCGCCTCAATGCTTACGTTTTTGACTCAGATGGCGTCCACACCGCCGAGACGACGATCTTGAGATGTCCAGGTACGATGTCAATAATAGCTTATTCATCGCCCGCTACATTGAAAAATCTGATGTTCACATTACTTCATTCCCAGAAAAACAATGTGGGACGACCTATCGACCTAGCTACTACACCAAGAACAGTTTACGCTGCTACTACACAATGGATATGGGGCGTCTTCCGGACATCCTTCACGTGCACTGTCATTACTACATGACCCGACGATTGCACCACATGATACGTGGCATACAATTTCTAGCGCAGTCAGTCCTTTCAGGTTCTACTCATTCTTTTGACACTCTTCACACTTATGATCGGTAACTGATCCTTCTATGTCATAGTGTCTCACACTTTAACATAGTCAACTGGTATAATAGGACATTTGTCAACGAATCTCATATCCCTCTCTTTTCAACCAATCAGGCGTTTTCACCGGCGATGTCTGAGGCTACGTGCAGCGATGGCCTCGACCTCCTGTCCCTTCTGGATCACGCCGACCGAAGGGGTACCCAGCTCTCAGTCAGCGCCACCGGAACCGATCATTTACGATTTGAGGGTGCCATGGGCACACATCTCGATCTCTTGTCCGCCGAGGGGACTCGAGACCGAGACCACTATTGTTCGCGTTGTGTCCGGATCAGACCTGGTGGAACGGACCCCGAGACTGGTGAGGAGATACTCTTTGGTCAGTTCAGTTTACCTCGATCCTTCCCCACTCGTATCTCGCCGCCTCACGCACTCTTAAGCGCTCTATCAGGCATACGGGCCGTCGTTACCGATGGTCTTACTATCGGTCATTGGCGCTGTAGTGCCACCACTGATCAGCTCACAGAGGTAGCTCATACAGCAGGATTGCCACAACCCGAAGGACCCTGCACCAACCGTCTCGCGAACATTAATCACAGGTTTTGTCCAGAGCATTTCCACCTTCTGGGAAATCGGTGTCAAGCCCAACCATGCCAATCTGTGTGCGAACCTGGGACCAAGACTTGCAAAAACGAAGCTCACATCAAGGCAATGGAAGCCTTTGAAAAGCGTGTGGAAGGTAACTTTTTGCTAACGGCAATACTGAATCGACCAGGATCGAACCTGCCTTCAGATGCAACGGTGCATCTGAACGCCGAAACTGGGGAGTTTGAAGACTTGGAAAGTCTTCAACAAGCGGACGAGTCTAACAGGGCACACGAGGCTGTGCGCGACGGCGGTGATTCTCAAAAAAAAGACAAAGTATCTCTATCACGCATGCGAACCCATAACGATCAGCTCATCGTGGGGCCGTGTGGCGTCATATTGGCACGAAAAACCTTCTATCACTCTGAATCAGTCAGTGCGGTGAAAGTCAGTTTTTTTTTGTAAAGTCACACCAAATAATATGATTGACAAAATTATCCTTCCACTGATTGTTGCCGAGTTGCAGGCGTTTTTGGAAGAAAGCTTTCCTCAAGGGGTTCCGGAGGTTGTTTTTTATGATAATGCCTGCCGACTGACGGAACATATTTACCATGGTCAAGTAGACGCCAGCCGTTTTAAAGTTACCGTTATACCTGTGGACCCGTTCCACCATCGCTCCCATGCTGGGAGCGATGATTTTTGTCAGCGGTTCACAAACCCCCGACTTTTTCCCGATATTCAAGAGGACGGAAAATGGGTATTTAACGCCTCAGCGGCGGAACTAACAAACATATGGTATGGTGGTTTTGCGTCCATGTGTAGAAACATGCACACCACCAAGTATAATTTTTTCTTAGAGGAGATGGTTGCGTTGAGGAATGCTTGGCTCTTACGCAAGCTCAAGAAGCGTCCTGGAATGGATTTCATCGGTAATGGCGTTCTATAATATGGGTGAGTGATTTTCATTATGACTCTGTTTCCTTTTCATAGGTTCCGCACTGCTCATGTCTGGTCACTCCTGGTCGGACTGCCGATTAACGTTCCACCTTCCATTAGCTTTAGGTCATGAACAATAGAAAAAAACCCATCGAGCTAAACAAATAACAATATCAGGTTACATGATACTAGTAGTTATTTCTTTGATCTGTCTGCTTATTAGGTTGTACGAGAACCTAATAACCATTATTTTAATCATTTTGTGGCCCTTCAATCATACTAAAGTTGATTTGTGTGTGGATTATCTTTCGATCTTCCAAATCGCCTTTTGGCTCTCCTCCCACCCACAATGGTATTGGTGCTTACTTTCATTTCGCTCTTATGTTTGATCTATTTGATCATTACACACAACTCGATATTGTTAATAGCAAAAGTTTTTCTTTGGTCTTATGCTTGATCGCTCTTTTTGTTTTTACACACAACTTGATTTTAAAAAAAAAGTATCTGTCACTGCAACTACATAATGAACGGTAACCAAACCCTTCATATATCATACATTGCATGGCTCCCATGGCATCAACATGACCACGCTGCCTACGTAGGTCCGCGTACCTGCTGGATGTGCTTGCTGGATGTGATTGATCAAATGATGGGTGTGGCATCACCTGGTCCTTTGGTCACTACCAAGGCATGCGCAATTATAAATGGGGCCATCGATGAGGGCACTTGTGATCATTATCCCACCTGTTTCCTATCACACCTATACTGAGCTCCTATCCCTTACCCAGATCATTTGAACCGTAACGACTCTCTTCTTTGGTCCTCAATTGGGTCCTTATTGTCATCTTATTCCTATCATCGGCGATTGACAACTTTTCATACATACCTTACCGCAGATATGCGTTTGCCTACCGTGATGACTGCCATCCTCCCCAACGTGGATGATGTAAGACAATTCCTTCTTCATGCATCGTAGATCATCCTTCTAACCCCCTTCTTTTTTATCTCGGCGAACAGGCCCACCGGGTGGACCCCAACGAGTTCGGAACGAGCTGGCACCCGTCCAACACCAATCTCGCGTTGAGATCTCCCCTTGGAGGTCATGTATTTGAACCGCTGACCGCTCTGGGCTGGGTGAAGCCCGTCGATAAGCTTCTCAGTGCGCGAACCTATAGCATTGTAGGACCCTTCGGGCACGATGTCATCTCAGGAGAAGCTACCATCGAACACTGCCGCAACAGCAAAACAGAGGTTGTCATCAACCCTCAAGACATACAAGAGCTGCTCTCGGGCAAAGCGGTAGTGAACGGCCTTGGCGTTATCGTGGATTTCTACCTCGAAGACGTAGACGAAATCAGTGGGTGGGAACTGACCGTCAATGCCAAACATGATTGGTTTGACCCTCGTGTAAGTCCTACCATGTCTGAGGTTACCAAACTGTCATTGACCATGTTGCTGCCATCAGGACGAAGAACTTAAGGAATTTGTGATTACATATCACTTCGGTTTACTTACTCCAATCGAATTCGACTGGCCGCAGATTGCGGTGGGCGCGAAAATGGCGCTCCATGGTTACGTTCTTAGGAAATGCCCTGAGTCTGGACGTTTTATTGTAAAAGTAAGTTGTCAAATAAGTTCTCATCTTTGTGTCTTTTGTGTGCACTCACACGATTTGCCTTTCCTTTTCAGGTGCGCAGTCATGAGTTCATTGAGAATGTGTAGTTATGCAGAAGCAAATTCTTTGTGGCTTAACTACACGTTCTCCAATGCTCTTGGCCTCTCTGTTCATGTGGTTGAAAAACTTGAAAGATTAGATGTTTAGATGTGGTATTGTCAATTTGTATGTTTCACTTGTCCTTTTGTATATTGCACTTGCCCTCCTGTCTTATGCCTTGGGCTCTCCGGTGTTGCTTAATAATGTGTGATTCTCCACATGAGTAAGACATGTTATCTTAATTGTTGTGGAGTTTGGTTAGCAAAGGAATCTCGTCTGTCAGGATCCATCAAACCAATGTGGAATTGGTGTTGGCACTTCAGGAGGAAATGGACACCAAAATGCTATTCATATACAACAAGTATGCGTGAACATACTTGTTGTTTGAGATAATCTTCCACATCTTGTCATAAGTTGGTGCAATATCAATTCCATTAATATGACAATTGACACATGTTCACCTCTCTGTCAATGTTGATCAGTGCTCACTCTTAGACCTTTGGCCAAAAGGTCTATCTAAGAGTGAGATATGGGAGAGACAACAACCAAGCCTTTCATGATTGATGGGCAGAATAATGAAGTCAGTGAGCCTCTCCACCAGTAACCTCACACACAAGTAGGCTTAGGTTTTCTGAACATAAGCCTAATCACACATCAAGCATGCATAGGGCATTTCACAAGCTAATTTAAATGCTAATACATGTGTTTTAATTATTGGTAATCCACTTGGCTGCGCATAGTTTAAACAGCAGACAGATCAATATCATCACTATGATTGTTACTGGGGTGATGATCCTAGTGATGATATTGATCTGTCTGGATCACAGGATCACACTTGATACAATGTTTGTGCCTTTCTGAGTATTTTCTTGTTGAGATGACTCTACAAAGAAGCAGGAGTCAGTAGAGTGTCAGGATTCATTTTGGAACTGCGCAAGCCCTGTTGACCACACAATATTGATATGCCAAAACTCAGGCAGTAGAGTGTCAGGAATGTTTGTAGCATTATTGTCCTGTTGGCACGGTCATAAAAGTGGACTGATATCAAAATGGCCCCACTTACACACAATTTTCAATTCAATGTCACTTATTATTTTGTCACGTCAATATAATAAGTAACATGGTGTGAACCTTGAAAACATGCAAGACTAATATGGACCTTCGTTCCTTGCTTTGGCCATTAGGAAACTCTCATCCTTATTTCTATACATTAATCATACCAAAAATTAATTGGAAAAGGAATTATGTAACTGTTTGTATTTAAGTTTTATAATTCATTTGATAATTAATTTCACTTTGGAGTATTTGGGGGCATATATCTCATATATCTCAATGAAATATGTAAACATTTGGGAATAGCTAAGCACCGTGGATGAAATTGGAGCGCCTCACCGACATACCAAGTCATGGGAGCGTCACCATGACTTACGTGGTTGTTGAGGTCCAGTCACCATATTATGTCACAAATGAGGACAAGTAACAATAGTATAATGGGGTATGCTATTGAACAAAAGACACATTTATAATGTGTCTTTTGGTTTGGGCCCCAGATGTAGCTCATAGATAGCCTATGCACAACTGGAGGTATGCCCCTCCTTGTTTTTGCATAAGTGGGTCAAACTTTACAAATGAGATCAACATGTTCTTTTTATATTCGACTCATTGGGTTGAACATTGATTTGAGTTCAATACGCTCATTTTATAATCAACTCCTTAGCAACCATTTAAAAGTATTGTATGTATATGAATTTTAATTGTTGATTATTAAATTGATCAATTCCAACACAAATAACAAACATAGAAGTTAAAAAAATAGCAAATTGGGTGGATTGGATTTTTAGGATTCTATATACCCAATCAAAAAAAAACAACTCCTGGGGTGGATTTGGCTTCAAAGTTCACCGTTGACGCAGGCAACATGGTTGAACTCTTGCTTGAAACGAATACGCGCCTGGCCTACAACGGCGTTGGGCTGGTCTTTGTATTCAGCTGCAAAACGCACATAGCCGACTCTGTTGATCCAACCGCGATACCGGTACATCGTAGGTAATACCTCCTTCCATTCATGTCCATAATGTTTCTTCCAGCTCAGCACCATATCACCGGTTTGCCCTTCACGGTGCCAGGCAAGGAGACTGGAAATAAGCACGGTTTTGGATGGCCATCTTGGTTTGAGCTGGCTATGATCTGAAAGTACATTGGATGGTACAGTGATAACGGTTGGCTGTGGTACCTATGAATTCAGACCGAAAATCCAGGAGCAATGTTTAAAAGATGAACGTCACCTGCTTAAAGAATTAGTGCTTACTACACTGTCCAAAGGGGAGTTATTCACCGAGCTTGATTTCTCCACGGGGTTGGACACGTTGGCATTGGGAAGGTCCTGGTCGTCCTGGGGTTCACATTTGACCCCTAATGGCGAGGGTGAAGGGGTTTCGCTGACACTAGGTGAGTCAGGTAGTTCACTAAGGTCCACTACACTTCGTGGTATCGGTACAGCTGGTGATTCGGGGGTGAAGGGACTAGGTGCGCTCGGGAGAGCATCGATATGTGGCCCACATATGCGTATAGCCTGGCTGCGCGGAGAGCTGGGGTGAGCTTGTTCGGGGGTCGAAGGCGGAAACACCGGTGCTTTGGAAGGACCGGATTGCACCAAAGAAAGATCACCTTCGCACTGGAGTGGGTGTGCACGTGGTGTCAAGGTAGAACTCTGTGGTAGACCAGGAGTCAGAGGATTCACCTTGCCCAGCCGAACGACAATGGTCCGGTGGGCGCTAGCATATCGATGGGGGTAATCCACAGGGATTTCGCGCTGTTGTATGTCATTTAGATCCACATTAAAGGGAATACGATCAGCTTTTGGCCATAATAGTGATGTGATTTCGACCAACCCAAGCATCAATTGCTTCATCCCACATGCTGATTGCACGATTCCAAAGTTCGCCAACCTCGCCAAGGACTGCCTGTATCAACAGATCACATTCTTCAAGCCGGGCCTGTGGCCAGTCTTTGAAGTATGCTGTGATTACAGTTGGTTTGCTTTCCTGGCAGTCAATAAAATCAGCGTAGTAAGAAAACATTAGGGACTTCATTGGACAGGAGGTTGCTTCCGTACATTTAACCACAGATATAAAGTGACCATTTTGCTCTCATCGTATTTCTTCTGGATTTCCGGTTGGTATTGCTCGAGTCGGTTCTTATGGAGAGTGACCACACTGTCCACATGAAGTCGGCGACCGAGAGAGTTAGCACTTTGTGCCCATTGAGTGACGCGAGGCGGCCTTGCATTGAATAGGCCGGAAGATGTGCTATTGGGGGTGGTATTGGCAGTCAAAGAGTGTGTGGGTCGGGCGTATGGTTGCGAAAAGGCTTCAATCTTGGAATTGGTGCGAGGATGAGCTCGGCACACTCCTAGTCCGTATGTGTTGCAACACTGAAAATAAGGTCAAATTGTTGTCAGTGTTTTTGTGCAAACAAGGAGAGCAAGGGCTTTTGGGTGCAAAAGATCAAGTGTCTATGAAGACCTACCGCCTGACAGTATTCGAATCGGCACTTCTTGTTAGCACTCTTGCGATGTCCTTTTGGAACAGGGCCTTCCCCAAGCCTCTTGCAAGGAATAGCTGGTCCACTAACGTGTGGGCCGGATAGCGAGGTAGTAGGATCGTGGGTGATTACTGGAACAGCTGGCCCGCTCAGGTTAGAGCCGGATTGTGAGACAGTAGAATGTCTGGTGATTACATGAAGACTAGCAGATGCAGATGAGTTGGGAGTGGGAGAATTGGGGAATGGGTTTGATAGTGCGTGCCCTTGTAACGCCCGGCCTTGAAATGGGTGGTCGAGGTGAGGCGGTCCGAGTAAGTGCCCCGAAAACGGCATGAAATTTTGTGTGGGCGATGGGCTTGGAGGAACTGGATCGAGAATGTGACCAGCTGGTGATACACGAGGGCCCCAGTCTTTGTAAGTCGATATGATTGGCCTCGGAACCCCAAGGTTGATGAGCATTCTTTCGTGGTTGAATTGATCGCAGCGCCACGTGCGCGTGTTATGCTTTTGAGAATTGGGACACTATGAGGCGCAAATCGAGATCAGGTTGATGAGCAAAAAAAAAATCATACTATTGTGGACTTACCCCGATGAACCATGCGTCAGCCTTGGGAGTCCAATACTTCAGTCCAGCATGGCAGATCGGGCAATGGATCCCTACTGGTTGTCCCGCTTTTGCATTTGGTGCTGGTGGATCTGGAAGATAGCCCGGAGTCACAAAAATGTAATCCGAGTGAATCAGCGTCGCGACAACCATATGTGTATAACGCAGAACGTAAGTTGAGTGGAAGTCGACGGTACTGTAAAGGGATATGCGTCAGTCTGATAGCCGAAAAAAAAGGACAACTTTGGGAATAGCAATTCTGCATGTGGTGAAAAACAAGTTAAATCTTGAACTTACTGTGTGCTTGAAGATGCTACCAGATTTATATTAAAAAAAAATCAGCGCGAAGAGTAGCTTCAACCGAGTTTTTCGGAGGGTGGACCAAGACAGGGATCGCGGAGTCTCAAGCTGAAGTATAGAGGGGCGTTTCGATAGTGGAGTCGGGTGTAGGATGTGGGAGTGTTTTCATTTGTATCCATTGCGCCGTAGGTGTCGTAGGCAAGGGTTTTGAAGGATTCGCGTGGTGGTTGGCGGTAAAAATTTTTCGAAGTGAAACACTGGAGGTATGACCGTATGTGAGCAGTGTGGGACACGTGTGTGACATGCACACGTTAGGACCTAACGCTAGGATTTCTGACTTTAGCACGGAAAATTACATATCTATGTATTATGCTTCTAATACATTGCTTAAATGCTTTTAGCGGAGGGCCTGTACACTGTATTATCAAAATTTTATCAGTATCACATTATCACAAATTATCAGGTCAAAAACCCGGATCCTCAAGTGCTCCCCAAATTTCCTGGGTTTGCTGAGCTTGCTGCTTGCATGATCAGCACACTTCAGGCTTTTTCGGTGGCAACTTTCATGAATCTTGGCAGGACTCAAGATGTCAAGGCTCATGTGATATGTTTGTATCAATCAACTTCTTGGGTAAGGTCTGATCGTTCATAAATTCGAAGCTCTCACAAGTTATGTCACAAAGTTGTGTACCTATCACAGGTTGCTGACATGCACACAACACAACTGTGGCAGATGTGTTTTTGAGTATCTGGTTGTAAGTCAGATTTGACTGTAGTCCTTACTTGCCTTTACATTCCATTCAAAGCTTGTATCGTAAGCAAGAAGGAAGACTATATAAGTATAGAAAGAACTCTGTCAGACATAGTCCAAAGTACTTCAGCATTGTCAAGTTTCTCAGTTCCCATTTCTCAGTTTTCCTGAAAAGCTCATTGAACAAAGTTGACTCTATAGATCACATGATCTATGGAATGTATGATTTTTCACTTATTCAGCTGTAGTTTATATTTTCCAATAAGCAGCAATTCATGGAGATCACCAAGAAAT